GAGAGAGAGAGAGAGAGAGAGAGAGAGAGAGAGAGAGAGAGAGAGAAATAGAGTAGAGACCGTTGTCAATAGCCATACTTGACTCATAGAAACGGGTTCCGCTCGCATTCCGTGTGTCCAGCCCTCTGTTGGTCACACTGACTTCGTTCAACCTTAGAACATTTTCTTTTTCTTTTATAGGGATTTCTGTAAACGTAGTACACGCGTGCACATGCGCTATCGCGACAAAGATCACACGATTCTACACATTTATTTAATAGTGAAGAAGAAATATAATATATATGTATAGTATGTACTTTATAAAGCAGAGAAATATATTACGCGAATTTACAATAAAATCATACAGTAATGGAATCGATTTCAAATAATTTTTAAAAAAAGCTATAATATATTTTGATTCGATGTTATATTTTATAATTATTTTTGTTATTGTTTTTTTTTTGGATTTTATCAATTTTTATATATAATTGAAATAAAACAACTTGAAAAAGTCAAAACCAAAGATTCTAAAAAATATTAAAAGATGTGATGTTAGTGCAAAAATATATTGAATTTAAAATTTTTATATATATAAACATAAGAAAAAAGATTTTAAAAAAATTATAACTAAAAATTAATTAAATGTCATTTAATTATAATTATAATATAATTTTTATGTTATAAAAATTCCTCAATCAACTAAATCTAACTATTATATATCTAACTTCCAATTAAGGAGGAGAATTTTTTCATTTTGTTAGATAACAATATTTTAATTTCAATAACCAGATTACGTCGATCGAAACCAGGAAGATCGAATCAGATGAATGCCCGTTGTTGATTATGTGCCAAATTCAGCTATAACATAGCGAAAAAAGAAATTTATTTCTTAAATTTATTTCTTTTATATGAATCATCCCAATAAATTGTGGTCAAAATATAGGCATATAGAAGAAACGAAAAAATTTATAAATTCGAAAAGAAATGACAGATTCAAATCTCATGCGATTTACCGATCGACTTTCAATAGTTCAACCTCTCGCGTATTCTGACCGGCTTCTCTTTAACAGCAATATATGTTAAATCGATGTATAAAGTGAGAGGTTTCGTAAGAGAATCGATGTGTCCTCTACCAGAATAATAAAGAGAATAGCTGACCAACGTATCCAGCCATGAAACGAATCGGTAGAAGATGAAGATTGGAGATTACATTCTTTCGATTCACTTCTCGAAACGGTACAGGCCATGAATATATATATATACATATATTACGTATATATCGAGGCGCGCGCCATGTTTGCAGAGAAGGGATTAGATAGGTTGCCAGAATCTGGAATTCTAAGCGTGTGTACATAACCTATATTTTTCCTAATTTATATGATATTACGTTTGTGATTGTATTATGTTTATAATCGAATGAAGATCTTGAATAGGAATGTTATTGTGGTTTTGATCTTAATTGTTTGCTAATTTAAAGACTTCAACAGATTATGAATAGAGTAGTAGATGTATATGAAGTCATGCAAAGTTTGAAATCGTTAATATTAATGTGTGTACACGAAAGATTGATCGTTTAATACATCAAAGGTTTATTGAAAGCTAAAATTACTGCATTTCATGAATCAATCACAGAATAACGAACAACAACGTGTCATTGTTATTTCTCCTGTCGTTTGGCATTTTAAGATAAAAATTAAGTTGGCTCTTGTTTGTGATTGATGTACGTGCAAGTAATTCTGAAATATACCCGGTGAAACTTGACACGCGTCATTCTTTGATAGTAACAGTTATATGTGCATATGTTCGTGTAACTGTTCTTCAACTATGGAAAGTGGAAACTACTTTAAAGTTTCCTTAAGATCTTCATTTAATAAATGATAATCAATTAACAATAATAAGAAAAATAATAAATCTATATGAAAGTATTAAAATTAAAAAATCATAAAATACAAAAATCATTTCGTGTATATATCTGAGCATTTTATCAATTCAAAATTATTGAATTTTGTTTATTTTGTTTATTTTGGAATTAATAAATATAACTTATATCGAACTTATAATAGTATATAATAATATAAAATAATATATGTATATAAAGATATTTATAAAAATGTTTTAAGATTGAAAAATAAAATATATAAGAATAATCATCATTCGTAAATTAGCAGAACGTTTCAACGCATTCAAAAACGTTTACTCCCACACAAATAGTTACCAACACATTTAAAGTCGTCATTCAATCACTTCGATTTACGTACATACTGAAATTTTCATCTTTTATTCATTACTTTCCGGTTATTGTTTGAAAACAAATACATATATGAATTGATGAGAAGAACTTGTATAATTTTACCAAGCGAAAGTTAAATTTCCATCTATAATTAACTTTCTTATTTTTTAATAGTAAGTAAGAAAATAAATAAATTTCAATGAATACAAATTTCTTTATTTGAATCCGGTTATTTTATGGTCAATTGTTAAACAAATCGCCAATTTGCGATCATTAAACGACGATGATATGATAATACTTTTTATATATTTTTTCTATTTATTTTTATAATCTTTTTTACGCTATTTTTATTATTATTTCCCACATAATTCTATAATAACTTTTTCTTTTTCGATTTATACTTTCTACTAAAGAAGAATTTAAACTCGATGAAGAATTCGTCGGAAAACAATGGCGGCGGCATTCAAGCCACATGTGTTCAGACCACGTGATTTACACCGGTCTCCGGGCCACGCATCCACCGGCTGGAATTAAATTACTTTCTACGGGGCGTTCGCCTTTCATGAAATCGACGCGATCCCTTAACAGCGGCAAACTTATTATCAACGATACACACCGGACGTCCGTTTCATTAAACCGCGCCTAAGAACTTGACGTGGGTAAAACGCGAGCTTATTTCAGATCGTCTGGGCAATAATTAAGCATAATTAATGTCTCGAGTAATTGGACAGGGAGATGCTGACCAAAGGAGGTTCCCAAAATCAGGATAAAAGGCCTCCATCTGGTTTGAAATGAGGAAATGTTCTCCTTTGGGAATTTTGCAAAATTAATTGGTTGGTTAGTTGAGCGTGATAATATTGAAGAAACGATGTGAAGTTATGAAATATGGAAGTTAATAGTTTTTATTCTTTTTTTCTTTTCTTTTTATATATGATTATGATTATGATTACGAATTTTTGCATATAATGGATTTTTATACAAAAAGAAATATAAATTGTAACAATAAATTAAAAGAGGAATGAGATTTTTAATGAAAAATTTCACTTTTGAATTGGAATGTTATTAATAATTTCAACAATATATATATGACTTAAATGATTTAAATTAATTTTCATTAATCTAAATTATCTAAATTATTAAATTTTTAGCATATACTTAAAAAAAAATTTTCATTCTACTTCAAATCATAAATTATTAAAAAACTTCAAACTACTTCAAATCATTAATGTGATATATATTCTCTCTATATATTGGCTCTATTTAAACAAAAATATATACTAAGTCATAAAAATAACAATATAAATAAAAAAATTATAATGAAGATGAACTTGAAACAATTCTGTTTTTTATACAAAGATATAATATTGTATATACTTATCTTACCACTATTCTTTTCCACAAATTAATAGCACTAATATAATTAAATTGTTTTGAACAACTTGTCTATCGATAATACTATCATGAAATGTAGACGGAAATAAAAGAGAGGATGAAGAGAAACCATGAAGAGTGAATGTATTGAAAACCACAGTGTAAAGCAGTAAATTTGTTAAATTGGATCTAACTAACTCGTATAGGACTTCACCCGTCATCAAAGAAACCTCGCATGCTACGGTAAGCTTATTAATAATTTTAGCAACAGTCTGTGTGTATATCTAGAAAAGCTACTTTCGAGTAATTCGAGCCGTCTTTTGTCGATTTCTTTATCGTCTCACTAGTCACAGAAACTTGTTTTTATGCTATGTCATTGTGAAACAATTGTAATTTCAAAAACTAAAAAATTTATCTTAAATATATTACTATATTTAATATATTATTTTATATTTTTTATTTTTAATAATTTTATAATATATATGTATATATATTATAATATATATACTAATTTAAAAAAAAATTTAAAAATGACTGTTTGCAAATAATATATAAAAATTAATTAGATTATATTAAAGATGAATAATGTTTTAAATTACATTTGCAATAAATTGCAAGTCGTAAATTATATTTTTTTCGCGTTTATCTAAAACAATTTTATACAAATAGATAGATAAATTTTTTAAAGAAACGAATTATATAATATTTATTTTATCATAAGAAAATTTTATTTCTACGTGAATTTTATTAAAACTGATGAATAATCAGAAAACACACATTTCATGTGATATACTGTTTATCGTGTATTTTCGTGGAATTTTTTTTAAAATTGTTTCTTAATTTGAACAAATTTAGAACTATTACTCTAAATTATAATCTCTTATGTCTGATTTTATAATAAGAATTAGTAACTCGAAACTTTTAATCTACTTTTTATTAAATTTATAAAATGTAAAATAAAAATTATATAATTAAAAGTAAAAATATAAAAAATAAAAAAAAATAATTAAAAATAAATATTTTTATTCATTTGTATAGAATGTAAAAAATGTTCCTATTTATTTCTTATATAACATTTAAAAAAAATAAAGCTTTAACTTAATTTAAATAATAAATAAAATTATTTTTTCAAAAGACAAGTATTTAAAATATTGTAAATAGATTCATAGCAAATGAAAAACAATTTTATTTTATTTCTACACAGAAGCACACGGTTCAATAGAATTAGTCATTACGAAACAGCTCGATAATGAAATTTTTTTTTTGAATATCTCGAATAGCTTATACTGTTGCAATCATTTCGTCTGAAGGAAATACACGTTTCAAAAGCAGTAATGACATGTTTCGTTTCAAGGTCGCCACGACTCTATGGCATCCCGGAGTGCCGAGAAGTGAAAAAAATCTCCGCAACGCAGGAAATTTACACTTTGAAACCCGAGATTCGATCCGTGCGCTCGACTCTGTAATATAATGCACTAATTAATTTTTCAATTTCCGCGACGTTTCATTTCATAATACTTTCTTTTTACAATTTTATACTTCTCTTTCAATTTGATTGAAGATTCTATTATTTTTTACAAAAAAAAATTATTAAAAAATAAAACGATACATATATAATTATATTCATGCTATATACATTAATAAAATTCTATATATTAATAAAATTTCATTATATATATTATACATCGTGATTCACAAATCACGAATGAAAAAGAAAGCTAAATCATATGATGTTATTATAATTTTAACAAATTAAACATCATTATTAACAAATTAAACATCACATTATAAAATTAAAAATGATATTAAATATTTTGTTCTTCACAGTCCTCTTTTAATATTTTGAACAGTATTTATCTCTCAATTAAGAAACAATATTATTGATATTTCATATACATAGATTCAATTGATGTATTCGAAAAATATAATTACTATTAAATATTATATGAAGATCAATCAATGTTATTCACCAATATATTTATTTATTATATATTATGTCAATAAATACAAACATCTTATTGTTGTTTCTCATATTATTTTCTTATCGTTACGTATGGAGCGTAATATAATATAATTTATTCCAGATTTAATAATAATAATTATAACTTAAAATAATAATTTATAATTTATTCAAGATGTTTATCTATTTCAAAAAAAATAGTGCTTATAACAGATTATCGTTAGAAGTTCTCCACAATATAATTACTTTATTTCGTGAATATTTTAAAAATCAAATAGAATGTATATATTTTTGCACTAAACTTTTTGTAATGTTATAATGTCTTGGATGTTTAATTACTTTTCTTTGTTTTTGTTTTTTAGTCGATCAATTTACAATGGCATAATCTTCCTAATCTTCAATTTTAATTTTGATTCGGAAAGGAGAAAATATATTCAAAAAACACGGATACCAAGTGACTTTGCAACCTTGTAACCTATAACATGGAGGTCACTAAACGTGAAAGAGATCTCTTGTGTTAACCATTATAATTAATCGCCTTTCTTGATTCCTTCTATTTTACGCAATGTTACTGTTCTACTCATAAGGTATTCTACACAACCAAGTATTCAGGGAACGAGGAAAAACGCGTTTTCCCTGAGCAGCCAGCTGGCTTTCATTTGCCTGTAACGGGAAGTGAACGACGTAATAGGAACTGGAGGAATCCAGCAACGATGAACTGCAAGGTCAATGATTTTCCGAGCAGACCGATGAACTTGCCTTGCACATAAGTACATACGTGCACTACAGAAGGTACCAATACTGGAAAGCAAATGAGAAAGAAAGAGATAGAGAACGAGAGGAGGCAAGGTCGTTGCCTAGATAACAGTTGCAAGGTACAGTTGACTTCAATACCTGGAACCAAGCAACCAGATATATCTAATAAAAAAGGAAAAGAAAAAACTGTCATATTATCATTAATTATGATATAAATTATTATTTATCAGTTAGCTAGTTTTAAAAATAATATTCTTTCAATTGTAGAATAGTTATGAATTGGTTGGAAGTAGTTTAAAGAAAATTGGACAAAGGAAATTTTTTCAAGGTAACAATGATCTTTTTTCATCTTTTATTTCTTCTTTCTTCATTCTACTGTATTCATGTATGTAAATGTAATTTTGCAATTACACATTACTGAATAATCTTATTATTATTCTGTTTGTTATAAGAGAGTTTGTTTTGATAATATATTATTATCAAAAAATACTAAAAAAAATAGATAATATTTAAAAAAGCCAATCGAATATTTTATTTAAATCAATAATGTTTAAGATGCTTTTAATATTGTTGATTTTATTTAGAAACATATTAAATTTAAGACAGAGAAAAATAATAATAGAGATGAGATTAAAACTATAAGAATTTTTCAAATTATTTGTTATAATTTATTATTTATATAATTTAGTTATATTGATTTAATTTTTGATATTGATGTTATATATTAAATGTATGATATTGTCAATAATTATATTATTATTATTAATAGTAGTAATAATAATAGTAATATGAATTGGTATTGATTACAATCGATTCAGATATATAATTTCGAATCAATATTAACTATGCATGATATTCTTAAACAGTCAAATATTCAAGTTCTTCAAATTATATCTGCCATATTTTAATGATTACTGAATAGAAAGATCGTTAATAATAGTTGTTAAATATAACAAATTATCACATAGTTTATGAAATGAATTTAAATGAAATGAGAGATATCATTATATTAATGATATATTGAATAAAATTAAAAAAAAAAATGAAGCAATTTTAATCAATCAATGTGAAACTTAAATAGAGAAGGAACAAACGAAAAGGAAGCGAATCATCAGCATGATATCTCGACTTATTTTCTTTAGTCCGTTCTACACGCGGTCAGAAGGACGAACAGGACAACGAGTGATGTAAAAGAGATGTAACTACAGGGCGCCTCTTCTTCCTTCTTTTTCCTCCTTCTCCAGCCCTGTTTGCGGCGTCTTCATCCCCCTCCACTTTCCTGCCCCTCTATCGCCATACAGTCAACCCAATGTTTCTTTCTTCAACTTTCTACTTGAACAGATCTCGCTTTCTTTCTGTTTCACATTGGTCAATTCGAAGGAAGCATCCAGCAGCATTTCTGGCCTGGTTGAATTTAACGTGGCAGGTGCCTGCTGAATGGACACTGGGTCTTACTTTTCTTCGTTTCTTCTAATTCTTCACTGTCTCTTTCTCCATGCTTTCTTATATCTTCTTCTATATTAACACTTCTCTATCTATCTCACTATCAACATTGTATCTCAACAATGTATTTCAACAAACTCATTATGTTTTATAGTAGTAAAACAAAAAATTAAATTATTTTCAATGATGATTTTCTTCTAATTCATTGTATTCCACATAAAATAAATAATGCAATATGAATTTCATTAGCTACTTATATTGTTGATAAAAATATGTATATATAAATGCTTAAATATATTTATAAACATATTTATAAACATATTTTTGAACTATATTCGTTATGAATGTTACATATATTTATTTATTTCGCAGAATCAATTAAAAAATATACAAAGATTTTGATTATTAATTGGAAGACTATTTGATTCCAAATAATTATATGATATAATAATAATATTTTGATATTTATAAATTGATTCTTATTCTAATAACTGATTCTTATTCTAATAAACACATTCAATCGTACACTATAGAAATGCAATTTAATATTTTCTTTTCAAGTGATTAACTTGATTACTTATTAATAATTACTTATAAAAAAAAATCATTTTATATTCGAACAAAATATAAAAATTTTATTTTTGCAAATTATCTTCAAGTCCAAATCAATCTTAGAGACATTCAAAAAATTAAGAATAGCAAGACGATCAGTGAAGCTGGTAAACATGTCGCACTGCCCGGTTTCGCAAGCGGTTGTTCGAAAAAGGCAAGAACTGTCCGGCAGTGTACTCCTGATCATTTACAGAGAGCGTCATTCTCGTTGACGAGCCTTCGCGTTACTTCTTTTTCTACCGCGGCGGCCTTCCATATCCCGGCGTCCCATCGAGAAGTCAATGCGCGCACGAACGCGCTAAACAAAAAAGCCGTCTGCGCATGCCAACGAATTTGATGTAGTACAATCTTTTGTTCATTGACTTCTAATGTCTTAAAACGCGAATAGAGAGATAAGAACACACGAAACGGTCTTTATTATAGTTTTAGTATAAATTTTTATTACTACACGATCAAGAAATTGACTTTTCAAAAACATTTTTATTCAAAATTATAATTTCCTTATAATATCCTTAAAAAGTAGCATACTCAAATAATATAGTTTGATAATGTTATATTATTTCATATTCAATCTACAACATATATTTTTTTGTAATTATAATTAAATAATGATAAATAAGAATAATCTTTTTTTCACATTGT